TCTCTCTCTCTCTCTCTCTCTCTCTCTCTCTCTCTCTCTCTCCCTCCCTCTCTCTCTTTGTCTCACGTTACCAAGGCACACCTTAGGTAGGTGGGTAATTTGGTCACCGGGGGATTCCTGTGTGATGTCAAAAGTCTAATCTAGAACAATTTTGCGAAGGAATAGGCCAAACACATCAGCGTTGGGCAAATATACCTGTTGTTTGAAAAGCCTCCCACTTCTACCCCACCCCACTCCTCGTAACTATCCTGATGTACTGACAGAACTCTCTCTCTCTCTCTCTCTCTCTCTCTCTCTCTCTCTCTCTCTCTCTCTCTCTCTCTCTCTCTCTCTCTCTCTTTCCCCCTTTTGCAAACATGGTTCCAGTTTTTGTAGATAAACTTCACTGTTAGTTTCAAATGTTGACTAAAAAAAGTAGCCTCTGATTGGTTTTTCTCTACGTTTAAGGGACAGAACCTTTCGATTTGACTTTGGACCTGCATCACGTGATCTGTCTTAATTTTCTTTGTTCTCTATGTTGTAGTTGTATTAGTTTTTCGTCACTGTTTCTCAAACACGAACGAGGACAAAGTACTTGATTCCAAACGTTTATTCCGACTTTCATGTCTCTGTTCATCTCCATGTGATGATAAATAGCACGTATACTTCTCTTTACTTTAAAAAAGCTGCAACTATATAAAAACAACAACAGTCAACAACCCAACAAAAATAAACAAAACAAACCAAAACTGTTACTGTGGGTGGTTGGCGGGTGCTCTGGAGTAGTTTGCTCCTTCTTTCCTATCAAACAACAGTCGCCTTTATCTCTCCTCCTTCTTTTCTCTTGTAAGACATCTAATCTTCGGCACTTATATTATATGACCTTATTGTGTTGCAAGTGCCGTAAAACTCTTACTTATCATCATCATCATCATTCAATGCCAGATCTGCGACAGAATCGGCGATCATGGTTTTCCATTCATTCCTTTGCTCGAATGCTCTAAAAAAAAAGCTACGTTTTCCTGATCTTTCCCTGTTACCCATTTGTTTAGGTTCCCCAAGTATGTTGTTCTGGGCCGACCCCTTCCTCGTTTGCCTTCAATTTTGCCAGTGAGAGCTAGATGTTCAAGACCATTACGTCTATTCAGGTTTCCAAAACACTGCATTTGTCGTTTCCTGATTGTTTTAAACATCGAAACTCTTACTAAAACTTAAAAAAAAAATGTTACTGCTCCTTAACCAATCGCACACGTCCACGCTGGCTCCTATGCACCGTTATCTCCCCTCCTTCTAATCTCCCGCACTTATATTATATGACCTTGTTGTGTTGCAAATGCCGTAAAACTCTTACTAAAACTAAAAAACACACAACAAAAACTGTTACTGCTCCTTAACCAATCGCACACGTCCACGCTGACGCCCATGCACCTGCGGAAGGCCAAGCTGATGTTCTTCTACACGAGGTACCCCACGTCACCCATCCTCAAGATGTTCTTCCCTGACGTCATGTTCAATAAGAACAACACGGCACAGCTCGTCAAATGGTTCTCCAATTTCCGGTGAGTCCCTGAACATTTTTTAATGTTTGTTTTTTCGTTTGTTTGTTTTTATTTGCGTGTTTCTTTGGTCCATGTTTTTATTTGATGTGTAGCTTATTTGTTTGTTTGTCTTTAAGAGAATTCTTTGCCGAACTTTCGCGAAGAAGGTTAAACTAACTGTTGCGACGGCTGTTTTTGACACAAACAAACACACAAACACACTCACACAAATAATCACACACACACACACACA